ATTTGTATGGAATTAGTGGAAGTCTTACATAAATTTCTATGGACTTTTATTTTAAAATTTTTATAGACTTTTATAGAATTCGAAAGACTTTTGAAGAATTTCATTTAAAATGGAATTTACGTGGATCTAGTACAATGGTGTGAAATTCTCATATATGAGGTGCTAATTTCCACAATTCCCCTTCTTCCCATATAATAAAAAATTTAAAAAATAAAAATTTAAGATCTAATTAAATAAATAATAATAATAATAATTATACATATATATGATTCAATATTATTAGTATAGTATACTTTTAAAAATAAATAAAAATCAATATATCTAAATTTATTTATAAAATTTTCATATAAAATTTTATAGTTTAATAAAAAAAAATAGATATTTTTCCCCAAAAAAATGAATGAAAAAAGAAAAAAGAAACTACAAGAATCCAATTTATTTTTCTATAGAAAATAGCAATAAATATTAAGAGAGAGAAAGAAAGATAAATAGAAATAAATATAATCAATAGAAAAAATTAAATTTTAATCATACAAGTCCATATAAATTTAAAAGAAAAAAGATTGAAAAAAAATTGTAAAAGTCTCCTAAAATCTCGTTATTAATGAGAGACAAATTTTAAGATTTTATATGAGTACTTTCTGCTTAAAAGTTAGTACTACAGAGACTTTTATAAAAGTCTCTAAAAGTCATTAAAATTTGAATACCCCAAGATTTATAGAGACTTCTAAAAAGTTTTAATTGAATACACCATAACTTTTAAAGACTTTTTAAAAGTCTATAAAAGTTTTAATTGAATACACCGTGACTTTTAGAGAGTCTCAAAAAGTCTCAATTGAATACCCCTAAACTTTTTAAATTCCAAAAAATCATTAAAAGTCTCAATTGAATACATCCCCCTAAGTCTTCGTTTGAATATCATTAATTTTCATTTCATTATATTCTATTTTTCTCTTTTCTATTTTTAACCACACAATTTTTCATAAAATAATATTACAAGTAAATTAACAAAATTTCCTTCCTTTTTAACTACTCATTTTTCAAAAAAAAATATCATTCTACC